TGCTACACAAATTCAAAATACATAATTGTATAACAAGAAAAAATGTACATGAATACAATGTACCTTGGTGGTGGGGTCTTTGCGCGACAGCCGCTTCAAGTGCTGCGCCACTTCACCATCAATATCCTGCTTCAGCCATCATCCCAATATTGCAAAAATAAATAACAAAATCAGCACAGCCAAAAACTCCGTAACATAAATCAAATTTCAAAGAAGACTCCAACTTTCATCCCTTTAACAAGAAAAGAAAAAAAAAACGAACAGTATACACACCGAAAAAGAAGAAGCATCAGAGGTTGAAACGAGTGAAGAGCTCACGCGGGAACCTCCGACGTAACCTCCAAAACCCACCGCCGTAGCACCCGATGGCACTAGAGAAGCAGCCAAGCTGCAATTATTCATGGCTTCTTAGCTATTACTATCGGCAAAAATTTATGGTTTCAATAAACTCTAAGCTAAACACACAACACACACATACACGCACAGAGCGCGTGAGAAGACGAACCTGCTGCTAGATGGGCGAGACTTGGTTCTGGTTGCTTCTCCTTTGGCTCTCCCCATGATTATTCTCTGCAAAAGTAATCGATTCGATTGATTGAATGATGGTTGCTTCGCAAACTTGAGCTGAAAAAATCAGCTTTCGTGGGTTTTCTCTTCTCTGTACCGACGAGGGGTGGCTGTGGAGATGGAGACCGCAATAGGGAGAAGACTATTATAGCTTGAATATCACCAAATGACAGTTTTGCCCTTGTATGAACCGTCCGGTCTGACGTTTTAACAAAAAGAAAATATTTATAATATAAAATGTCATTTCTTATTTATATTGTTTATATTATGATATTTTGATTTGAAATAATGCATGTTTGTTGAAATAATATGGCCTACTAACCTTTAGAATTTCTTAACAACAAATAAAATTTAAATTTATTTATCAAATAAAATTGGGGAACATCAAATAAAATATAAATTATTTTATATAATAACAACAAAATTATATTATTAGCATACCATAAAAAACAATCATTTTAGTGTATTATTTTTATATATGTGGAAAAATGTATAAATTAAGTATTAACAAAAAATGAATATTAAGAATTATTCAAAAAGCTATGTCCCAACTTAAATAAAGTATATAAAGAGTTTGAATGTAATTTGATAATGGAAACAGAAAATATGAAATATTATCATGATTAAAAAAATTATCAATTTATTTTATAACTTTCAAAATATTACATTTATATATATTAATTCATATTTAAATCATCAAGTCTTATAAATTTTAAATACTTGAAAATTGATATATAAGAATGACCAAGCCTATAAATAAAAAAATATAATTACAATGCAATAAGGCTTCGAAAAACTTAAATTTACGGTATTGTAGATAATATTTGTGTTATACATATATAATTTACAAATGTAATTAAAAATTATCATTTTTAATAAATTAAGTGTAAAATTCAGGTTTATGTAAAATAATACCACTATGTTAGTTTTTTATTGCTTATTGTAAATTTATTGTTTATAATTTAACAATGATAATATAAATAATTATACTTTTTTTAAGTATTAATTTTTTTAAGTACTCGTGCAATACCAGGGTATCATACTAGTTACTAATCAATATAAATTATTATTATATTCTTTTTACATCGTGTGAACTTTAATCAACATATTATTGTCATACTTTCTTTCACTCACAATTTCAAATCACTTTCACTTTTTTTAAAGAAAATAAATCTCCCAAGTCAAGCAACGTGTTGGACGATGTTTGTGATCGACTCTCTAGGGATAGTACATGCTTGTGATCCCGCAAAGCGCATGCGAAAAGCCAATCTCAACTGCTCCTAATTGTGGATCAACCTCAGGAGTAACGAGTGATACTACTGTTGAGGCTTGGGCCCTAGAGTTAAGGAGAAAGTTCGGCATCGAAGAGTGTCATTGGCACCATGGAGATCAATCCATGACATATATTGTCCAAATTGAGAATCGGGATCGGTATCCCCGTGATACATACCAACTTGGTGAAGTTTAATTTTGACAAGGAGCATTTCGGTCATGATATGAGGTGAGAGTGGTGATGTAGGATCTGTTGAAACACCTAATGGAGATGAGTGTGATTTCAGACAGTTAGCAAGCGATCTCCTTAGTCTCCTTTCGAAGTATTATTTTGTGATTTGTTGTCGAAGTTCGTCTTGTTTGTTGCCTAACCGGTTTAACATCGATCAGGCATTGGAGTTTATGTTGGCCCTTGAGTGAGCCTGACTTTCACTCATGCTTTCACGATCTTTGTGACGATCAAGCTTTTGTTCGTCTTTTCCCCTGTCACGAGATTCATGGTACTCATGAGAGTGGGCATATTGGGATAGTAAGATGTGAGTTGAAAAGTTTTTCGCGGATTAGTATTTGGTTGAGGATTGTTGCGAAACATTTGTGAGAAGTAAAATCTTTAACAAATGTGAGGTTTTGAAAAAATTGTGTAACATCAGGAGGAGGGTAAGAATTGCCCTCGTGTTGACTGTGAGTGTGATGTGATGCTGCCATAGCTATTATGACGACATAAATTTCAAGTAAATATTCACCAAAACCCTTGATAGGGACCTTCGTCTAGCACTACTTTATTGACAATTGTTTGTCCTATTTTTGTTATCTTTTTCTTTGGTTATTTTTAGTTTTCACCCCCGTTTTTAGGAATCTCTTTAGTTCTTTTGCTCCACCAGTCATTCGTTTCGTGTGTTTGCCGTTTATCTCTCGTTTTTGATATTTTCTGTTCTCTTGCCTGTTTTCCTGTATTTTTCTTTCGTCTTTGTGGTGTGCACGTTCAGGTTTTTCATCACACGCTTTGAGCTATTCAAATAACCGAACAATCGAGCAGCGTACGTCCTGGCCCTCAACACGGATCAAAGTGTCAACTTTTCTAGTCCGCCGTGCCGTGCCCTTCACCTCGTGCCGCGGTGAAGCCGTGCCCCGCACCGCGATCCTACCACGACTTGGACTGCGATTTCCCCAGACTTCAGCTTCGTGCTGTGGCGAAACACCCTGCCGCACCGTGCCCTCCACCTTGCGCCGTGGTGAAGCCATGCCCCGCGCCGTGGCGCAAGATCTTTTGAACTTAAAACCGACTGCGTTTAATTAGGATCGAGAAGGTTTTATATGATGACTCTTTCAGACTTTTTTTGTTGTTGTTCGCTCATTATTCTGAGACTGATTTTCTCTCGTACTTTTTTACTTTAGACAATTTTCCCTTCAATTTTCACTTGGGATTCATTGAATTTGCTTGGATTTGAGCTTTGGAGATTGTGGCACTCTAACAAATACGGTTTGGCTTGTATCTTGATTTCGTTCTTGACATAGATTATTCGTGATTTCCTTTCATTTGATTATGGATGTGAATTATTGTTTTGAATCTATTGTTGAGATTGATATTGATATGTGCGGCTAAATCATTCGGTTAGGGGAAGGAGATATTTGTTTTGGTTCGATTAGGCTTAATGTGTTGTTTGTCGTTCAATCTATTCGAGTTGTGCTCATTTTAGGGTTAGATGCTTGATCAACATCATAATCTAATTAATCAATTTGTAGAACCGGAAGGGGAGAAATTGATTGATCTTGGCTCGTTTGGAATAGGCTTGTTCGTTAATGTATTGCCTATGTGTTAAGTGTTTCAATAATCGACTTGTTCATGTTTGTTCTCTTGTTACGAGATGTTATTGAGAATAAACCTCTAAACAAGTAAGTTATTTGGTCCCTTAACCGAGAGACTGTATGCTCATTGATTGCTTGAGAACCATAAACGAATATCTCCGACTCCCTAACCCTCGCATCATCATTTGAACCTCGTTGGAATTTGAAGCTTGTTTTGTTATATTTTATAATTCGTAGTCATTAATTAAAAACCCAACCAATTGAATTAGAGTGTTTAGGATTTAATTTCTCTTTTTTGTGATTGAATACACGTACGAAATAATCCGACTGACCTTCCTTGAGACACGACCCGAGGATTGAATCTTTTGATTTAACTCCAGTAAAAATAACTACAACAACAACACTTTGTTACCAACGTAATTTAAGCATGATTAAAGGAAGTTTATATGTGCTAATGGCCTAAAGATGGATCAAGGAGAGATTTTTTATATAATGCGACAAATCGTCACAAAGTAATATAAGAAGGAAAATAAGAGTTTGAATATATTTTCCAGTATGAGTGTATGGTTTTTTGTATATTTTTTTTCGTGTTTTTCGAGTTATTTAGCGTCTCATCTATAAATAAATAAAGTAAAAATTTAATGATGACGGCATGCCATCCTAAGGGCTAGGTGGTTGACATGTGTCGCCATGCGAAAATCCGACTTTTGATGATGAGACACTCGTTTCAGTTTTGATGATGGGGCCAATTGAGCTGTCATTTTATTGGTTTACTTTGCCGGTTCATGTTCACATTTTGTAAAGAGATCGACAAAAATTGTTGGCAAGTAGATCAACACACAAATCAACAACGGATTGATACAATGATAATAGAGGACTCTAGGGCTTATTTCTTTGTTTCATGGGCTCAAGCTGTGGGCCTGAATAGGTTTCGGCTGGTTCGTTTATGGAAACCATACATCTCTTGGACCCAAGAGTCTGACATACAACAAAACTTTTAATAATTTTAGTTATTATTATATTTGAATATTTTATCCCTTAAAATTAGTTTATAGGTATGTTTTTTGAGAGAAAAATTATAAACTTTATCCATAATTTTATATGATATTCAAAAGTTTGAATTATATAATTTTTCAGAATTTTCATATCTATTAAAAATGAAAATTTTAGACGTAAAATTAGTTTTATTTAAGGTAGCTTTTTATATATTAATATATATATATATTGTTATAGATAATAGATTTTTAATATAATTAAAAATTTTAAAAATTTAAATAATTTTAAAAATTTCGTCAAAAAAAAAATAAAAAATAAAAAATACTTAAAATCTGAAATGAATAGACCAAGCAGCAGTGCTGCTTTCTTCCATTTCCATCGCCCCTATCTCTAACCGCCGCGCTTTCTCACTCTTAAAACCCTACAAAGAAAGGAAGCTAAGCCTACTTCACTCCTCTCTCTCTCTAAACCCTTATCCTCTCTCTCTCTCTCTCCTCTCTCTCTCTTCACCGTTCGAACGGATATAGGGAGAAATAGAAATATGGCAATGAATCCATCCATTTCTCTCACCACCGCTCCTTGCTCCCCCGGCCTCCGCAACCACTTCATCCCCACCTTCGCATCTCCTCGCCCGCTCTCCGCCGGGCGTCGGCGCCGCCGCAGAATCTCCACCGCCGCCCGCGCTTCCTCCTCCTCCGCCTCCTCAGTCGTCACCTCGGCCCCTGCCGTCAAGCCCGATGCTTTTGGAGAGAGGAGGGAGCTCACAGGCGTCCAGTCCCTGGTCGAGGCAATGCCGTCGCCCGTCCGCATCGCCGGCTCGGTCGTGGTTGTTGCCGCCGCCGCCGCCGCCGGGTATGGGCTCGGGTCCAGGCTCGTCAGGTCCCCCAACGCCGCCCTGGGCGGGGCAGTGCTGGTCGGGGCTGCCGGCATGGGGGCTGCCTACGCCCTGAATAGCTGTGTGCCTGAGGTTGCCGCCGCCGGTTTGCGCAATTACGTGGTGGGCTGTGACGATCCTTGGGCTATCAAGAAGGAGGAGATTGACGCCATAGCTAACAAGTGATCTCCATTTCTTATTCGCATTCACTTACATTGTCTTGAATGTGTCGTGTGTGCTAATTGTGGAGAAGCAANAATACCTAAGGGTCCATGTGGAATGACGAGCAGCAATCTTCGTATTGTATTTTTCCTTCCTAACTACTGTTCCTTAATTCTCTAGATATGGTATTAGCAAGCAGAATGACGAGTTCAATGCGGAGCTTTGTGATATTTATTCCCGGTAAGCATGTATGCCAAATTTTAAGCGTCTGATGACCTGTGTGCTTGTAAATGTAGAAAGCTAATTGCTTTAACTGCACATTTTTAGGTTCGTCTCTTCTGTTCTTCCTCCTGGAAATGAAGACCTCAGAGGTGATGAAGTTGATACCATCATTAAATTCAAAAAAACATTGGGCATTGATGACCCAGATGCAGCGGCCATGCACATGGAGGTAGTATTGCATCCAATGCTTAATTTTACAGCAAACTGTGAGATGGCTTTTGGCTTAATGGCATACTGGAGACTACACATTTTCAAACTTTTAATTACGATTTCTCAGATTGGTAGGCGCCTTTTCAGGCAAAGACTTGAAACTGGGGATCGTGAAGCTGATATGGAACAACGTCGGGTATGATGTTGTTTAGTGCTTTACCGTGATGTAGTAACATGGAGATATGGAACTTGACCGTTTTCTATGTTTCAGTGCAGGCATTTCAGAAGCTAGTATATGTCTCGAATCTTGTATTTGGAGAAGCATCTGGTTTCTTGTTACCTTGGAAACGCGTGTTCAAGATCACTGATGCTCAGGTAATCCTGCTTGCAATATCTTTTGCTAGTTGCATTTTTTTGAAATTTTAAGTAGTTTTGTGAGTTCTCTATACTGATATGTGATGTAGAACGTGAATAAGAACGGGATAAAAGAGATACTCTCTCTTCAGAAAACACGCAAGAACAGATATTTTATTTTCTCAAATTCAACTCCCCCTTACGTTTTGGCCAGACAGATAATAAATAGAGTTCAAGATCTCCTAACTTGTCAAACAAGTAAATAAATATCTCCTAACCAACTAATCAAGATAAATACGGAATAGGAATAATAATAATTATGCAACGTAAATAATTAAGCTAATGCCGGAAGCCGATCGTATTTGTTCAGAAAAGCCATCACGAGCTCGTCTCCATCAATATGTCATTGCTGTTTTTATATCAGAAGTAGTGGTAGTGTAAATATTTTCTTTTCAGATTCGCAGATGTCTTTTAATTGCCTTCTGTCTATCAGGTAGAGATTGCTGTCCGGGAAAATGCTAAAAGGTTGTATGCTGTCAAGCTTGGTCCGATCTCCCAAGGTGCTATTATTGGTTATATTTTGTGAATATCCTGAACTTCACGACGTCGTCTTCCGATCACTGTAGCCTACTTTTTATTTGTTTTAGTTTCTGCTCAGTTTGAATACTTCTATTCTGTGAAGTGTGAACATTTTCTATAATTATCATTTATTACTCTGCTCCCATCTCTTTTATATCTTATTTTCTTGACTTCATATGTCTTGATTAAATTAACAAAATCGAATAACAAACATATCAGTAATGGCGGTATGACGTGGCAGATTTCTGCCAAGCTGCCATGCTAAATTTGTGAAGGATGGTGGTTACGGCGGAGTCATAGTCCGCCACGGCGGGATTTTGGCCTGCCGCTATTTTCTGCCAGCCGCCATTGATAACACTGAAGCATATTGAAAATTTTGTTATCCCTTTGTTGGACTTTGCCTCTTATGAATTTGAATGCAGCAAGTCATGGCTTTTAAATATTTGCATTTGCTGTACTTTTATATGGTTTGGACCCAAGTCATTGCATTTACCCTATCAGGTCTCTTGTGCTTCCCTTTTCCACTTATGATCTCTTCGTTAGCTTTATTGCTATTTAGTCAATTCCGTTATCATAGCACAGACTGGTTTAATATCTGGGTGACAACGATATTAACATGGCTTAAGTTGTCTCCAGATATCGATGTGAATGAGCTGATCAGGCTTAGAGAAGCCCAACTTCATTATCAACTTTCTGATGAGGTATTGTTATCGGTGAAATCTAATGCGCGCTTGCATGCATTCAATACCTTTTAGCTGTTATTTTGTCAGCAAATTGAGAAGTCCAGCATAACATCTATATTTGATTTCTGGAAGTACTTGATTTCTAAAAGCTTATTATCTCTGCAGCTTGCTGAAGATATGTTCAGGGAGCATACAAGAAGGATCGTTGAGCAAAATTTATCAGTAGCCATCAGTGGATTAAAGTCCAGAAATAGTGAAGTGTATGAACGTATCATGTTCTTGAATTACTGACATGTGCATAAGTTATTGAAAAAAGGAAATGACAAAAAAGGAGCATGATAGGTTCTAATGCTTTTGCTTCTTGGGCATTGAGCAAGATTTTTACTAGATTTTGGCCCTGCAGTTGAAATATTTATTCGAATGTTTTGTGGTAGGGTTTTATCTTTACCATTATTATTATTTTCCTTTTTGAGTAAAACCCCATTAAAGGTGGGGGCTTGAAGCTGGGTCCCTCTCTGTAAACTATCAATAATTACTTCTTGGTTAGATTGTTCCTTTATTTTTCATTAAGAGGCATGATGTCATGGCATGTAAGGTCAATTCTCAATATCTAATACTTCATGAACAACATAGTGGGTGGTCAGTTGTGAGGAAACAACCTTGAGCTAACAATCCTGGTTAAGCCCCAGTCAGAATCAGAGATTGGTTAACGGCCAAGGTTGGTCTGATTAAATATTTCACTCGTGATGAGTGATAGTCATCTTGTTGTAAAATCCTATTTATTGCAAAACTTAGGTCACGGTAATTGCCCGATCTTACTGCTCGATGATGTATTAGCTGCATACAATCCTAATTTTCTGTGTATTCTTTGACCTTCAGTCTGTACTGGTATTTCTTTTAACCAATCTCTAACGTTTTAGCTATTTGTTTGCCTGACTGAATTTGCCGTCGACATCACAGGAAACGTGCAATTGAGGAGCTTGATAAGATATTAGCTTTCAATAATATGCTAATCTCACTTAAGAGCCATCCTGATGCCAGTCGCTTTGCTTGTGGTGTTGGGCCTGTATCTTTAATAGGTTCGTTCATGAAGCAATTCTTCCTTTGCTGCATTCAAGGACCTCGATTCTGGTGTTAATCCTGCTCTCATTTTAGTTTTTTCAGGGAACCTTTTGGTGCACTATTTTATAAAAAAATGTCTCCCTAGTCTAAACTCATTATCTCAATCTTTATCCATGCTTTTGTTCAGGTGGGGAGTATGATGGTGATAAAATGATACATGACTTGAAATTTCTTTACAGAACGTATTTGACAGATGCTTTATCAGGAGGTCGCTTGGAAGAAAACAAGGTGCTGCATGATACTGTTTTAAAATGCTGTAAACTATATTTTGAACTGCAAGAAATGATATCAACGCAGGAACTGTTTCTTTAGTTTCCAATAGGGGAGTCATGGTGATTTATATTAGAATAGTCTGATGTGTTGTATTTTCTCTTTCACTTGGGATTGTCTCAGCTAGCTAGTGCTTGATTTATTAATTCATGAACTAAGATGAGGATGATTACAAATTTCTACAATATCTGGTAGACAAATTATATACATGATGTGGTGTATTTAAGTTAACAAGCGGCATATGTCTGAAGTAATTTTAATATTCCTTTAACCTTCTTTCTTTGAGACTCTAATGACCATTTGTTTTGCTTTTATTGTAGCTTGCTGCACTAAATCAACTTAGGAATATATTTGGTCTAGGGAAACGAGAAGCCGAGACAATTTCGCTGGAAGTTACTACACAGGCGTATCGTAGATGTCTTCAGCAGGCTGTCTCTAGCGGTGATCTAAAGAATGCAGATAGTAAAGCAGCCTATCTTCAAAATCTATGTGAAGAGCTGCACTTTGATCCGGAGAAGGCCATCGAAATGCATGAAGGTTTGGTTTTATCAATCAATTTTCTCTTAAAAGAATAAACCAAAAGTTCTTCGTAAAATGGCATTTAAGTTTGATTTGTCTTTGTACTATTTTGAAACGTAGAGTTCCCATGACACATAAGGCCTGTCAAGCAAATATAGGGTGGTGTTGTTCTGTAGAATCTATGTGAATTCAAATATTTACTTTTAGAAATTTACCGGAGGAAGCTTGGGAAGTTGGTAGCTGCTCAAGGTGAACTCAGTGATGACGATGTGGAGACCTTGGAACAGATACAAATAATGTTCTGCATTCGAAAGGAAACTGTTGAAAAAGCTCATTCAGATATCTGTGGCAGATTGTTTGATAAGGTAATCCTTTAATTCCTCACCGCAAGCCAGAACAGACTGTCACTCTTTTGTCAAATACATTTCTAAAACATATCGAGATGCATCATTTTATGTGTTTGCATGCATGTGAATATAAGGATTACCAATGTACGTTGTCTCCATCTGGAGTAACAATTTTTTCGTGGTGGGTCTTTAGTTGTTGAGTGCACATCTGGACATTGTTTTATCAGAAGGTTTTTTCTTTTTCTTGAAGCTAGAAACTTACTGTAATAGCAGTAGGATTCATTCAGGGCAGAACAAAATTGTTTTTACTGAACAATTGAATAGTATTTTGCCTGTTACATAATGCTTGTATTATTTCATAGTTATGTCATATTTCTTATGGCTCCAAGCAGTTGGTGATCTTTCTTGTTGGAGATTATTCTACTTTTACTTGGATTTCGTATGTAAATTGGAAAAGGAACTTATCCATTCACAACTTCATTCTCAAGCATAGGCCCCATTGAATTTGATTTGTAGTCAAATGGAGTTTAAATTTAGCCCCAACAGTCATAGGTATTAGTTTGGTTAAAAAGTTCTATTCATTAGTGGTACTTAGGTCTATACTTGAAGGTTTCAAGTGATAAGGTTCACAACCTTATTATTCAATGTATAAACAGTACTCAAAAGTGAGTGAATGCTTGTATTGATTGGCGCATTATCATTTACTGGTTACCCATTATAAATTACAGCTTGTCAGGGGAGCAGTTTCTGCAGGCGAAAGTGGATATGACGCGGAGACTAGAAAGGCCATCAGAAAGGCTGCCTTTGGTTTGCGCTTAACCAGGGACATGGCAATGACTATTGCTAGTAAAGCAGTAAGTACTGTTGCCATGATTTTATATATATGTAATTTATTAGTCGTACTGAAGATCCTAAAAAGACAATCAATTTGATGTATTATATGTTGAACAAGTATTAAAAACACAGAAGTTGTTTATTTAAGTTTGAAAATAACTTAGACACTTATCATTTAACAACTAAAAAATGGCAGGAATAATTAAAGATCATATACATAAATAGACTTGCTCTCTCTTTATATATAGTTGTATCGATTCTCTTATGACAAATGTGACACTTATTTTTTATACCCACGTCCACGATAATTTCATAGACTCCTCTCCTTAAAATTATTTATCTATAGCTATTGTAGAATATAATTTCATTTACATTTATTACAATCGTAAAAGTATCGATGAAATTTGAAATTAATAGTTACAATATGGATCATATAAATGTACAATCTGAATCATATAGATTAATCACTTTTTCAGAGAATTATTATTGCATAAATTTATTGGATTATATACATATTGTTTTGATTGTGTACGTACAACTTAAATGACAAAATGAAGATTATTGAAAAACATGTTTAGATTGATATATTATGAGTAAAAGTGGATTAAAATCACAAAAAGTTAAAAAGTTTCGAAACAGGTCAAACACCGCTTTAGTTAGTATTTGAAGAATGACATAGTCGAATCCCATGGGTGCATATGTTAGTGGAGTTTTTATTTCCTGTAGTGTAAGAAGTAAGAACATATATTATCTTTTTCTTGTTTGTTGAGCATCGTAACAAAAAAATTGAAAAAAATACTGGAGAAATGGTATTTATGGATTCTCTCATTCTGGTGCCATAAACGCGACACTTTTTTTTTTTCCTGATTCCATGAAAAATTTGTTTTATTCAGGTTCGCATGATGTTCATGAACTTCGTCGAAAGTGCTAAGGAAGCCAAGGACCGAGACGCTGCAGCCAGGGAACTGAAGAAGATGATAGTTTTCAACAGGTTAGTTGTCACCCCACTAATCGCCGACATCAAAGGCAAGGACTCTCTCGATAATACCCCTCCACCGGAAGACCTCAAACCCGAACATACTCTTGATATTGATGAGGAATGGAAATCCCTGGAATCAATCAGCAAAGTGCTCCAGAACAGGAATGCCCAAACCTTTGGACTTCCAATCCAAAAGGAGATAAACCTCAGGGACGACCTTCCGGAAAGGGAAAGAGCCAATGTTTACAAGTCCTACCTGCAATACTGTCTTATAGGTGCAGTTACCAAAACGAATGTTGGCCAGAGGATAACAGAGGTGGATGATACCGAGTACATCAGTTTAAACCAGTTAGGTGATATACTCGGTTTGACCGACAACGAAATTGTCAAGGCACACATTAGTTTAGCCGAGCAGAGTTTCAGGCAGCAGGCTGAGTTCTTGTTAGCCGATGGCCAATTGACCAAAAAAAGGATGGAGCAATTGGACGAGCTGCAGAAGGATTCGGGACTGCCGCTCCAGTATGCGCAGAAGGTCATTAAGGGCATAACGAGTACGAAACTGTCGATGGCTCTCGAGACAGCTGTCAGCCATGGGAAGCTCAGTGTAAAAGAAATTAGGGATTTGAAAGAAAATGGGATTGATGCAGACACCGTGATGACCGAGAGTTTACGGGAGAGTATATTCAAGAAGACGATGGATAAAATTTTCTCGTCCGGCACTGGGGAGTTCGACGAGGAAGAGGTGTATGAGAAAATCCCGAAAGATCTCAACATTGATGCCGACAAGGCCAAGGGAACTGTTAAAGAGCTAGCTCGGACTAAGATGCCAAACTTGCTCGTTCAGGCGGTGGCACTTCTTAGGCAGAAAAACCATGCAGGGGTGGTAAGTATTTTTTATTTATTTATTTTTTTTTTCAGTTTTTACGTTTTTTTCGGATTCTAATTTCAGGGTTTTAGTTCCTTTTTTTCTTTAGGATTTCCCCATTTTCTTTTAGACTTGGTGTGATTGGATATGAATTTTATTGGTTTTTTATTGTTTTTTTAACCATGGTTAATTTTAATAAAGGTGGTATGGTGAGTTGTTAGTGGGAATTTAAGTTTAAATTAAAATATTATTTAAATAAACTGATATAAAAGTAGGAGAAAAATGATTGGAAGTGATGGTTAGTTAATATTATGTGAGTGGATGAATAGTTAATTAAAGCTGATGTGATGCGTAAGAATGATTTGTTGATATTATTTAATTATATTGATAATATTGAAGATAGTGGAGTTGGGTTAAAGTAGTTAAATTGAGTTTTGATTGATTTTTTTGGTTGAGTTCATAACCAGTCACACCCTTTTAGTTGCAGGTATAATATTTTGCTTTTGTATAATATTTTCGAGCTTTTGGTGCATTTTATTGTTTATTTTTTCAAATATTAAGCTTTAGTGAACTGTATGGCATCTAATCAATGCCACGAGCGTAATTATTCTTATTACCGTTACGTGTTTAAAAAAACTGAAATGATGTTGCTATGTGATTTTCTGTTTGTTGCAGGTTAATTCCGTCAATAACATGTTAGCCTGTGACAAGGCTGTACCCTCGACTCCACTATCATGGCAGGCCCAAGGGGAACTTAATCACCTGTTTGCCGTGTACCTGAAAAGTGATGCAACTTCCGAAAAAGTGGACAGAGTAAAGTACCTATTGAACATCAGTGACTCGGTAGTGGAAGCTGCGCGAAACATGGTGATAGATGAAAAAGTGCCAAAAAAAGACGAGGAAGAATTTGTGTTTTGAATCCAAACTCCGAAAAATCCTTTACCCGATATATCCAAACCATCAGTGTGTATCGATTTTGTTTCGTGTTAACTAGCATTGTCGAGTATGTTAAGCAGGATAAATTCTTGAATGAAATTCTTGTATTCAGTAGATTATGTGCTAAAGAGACTAGCTGGATTTTTACAAGGGAATTTAATTCAATTGATGTTGTAGCAAGTTTAGAGATGGTTTTTTTTATCTTTAGTGTAAGGTGCATATGTGTTGCAATATTTTTCTCACAGAATGTCATGTAATAAAAGATGTTTTGGTCATTATGAATTGTGATATCTCACATGTGCATGTATGTGAAGGAAACTGCAGAAAAATGTTGGATTCCAAGAGTGAAGTATCAAGGGCATATATTATGTATCCAAAAGGCTTTTAGTGCCTTCACATTTTATCAAGAAATTTTTAAATTGCAAGACTTCTCCATTGCTTTGGATATTATAAATTTAGTTTCATGGCTTAAGCTAATTATTGTTTGAGAGTTATGTTTGGTAAACTTAGCTGATAGATTATAAGTGAATTTCGAGTTTATAGCTTATGGTTGAGAAGCTAGTTATATATTAAAGATGTTTGGTAAAATTAACTGATAAATCGACTGAAATAAAATTTTCAATAAGTTTATTTGAAAGCTACTCAAGCAAGTTTATAAGATAAGCTCGAACTTTTAAAAAGGTTCGTTTTACAAGCCAAACGTAGTTGAAGACATGTAGCTTATAAACTAATTTAAAAAAAAAATTATAAGCTAGCTTTACAATACTTATTAAACACACTTGGTGTTTTATGCCTTTGGCAACTACAATTATTCCATGTATTTCATCACTCAGTGAGTTTTTAAACAATGGATGAGGTTGGTTTCTTTATTTTTAGGGGTGTTTGTTTATAAATAAACTCAATTCATATGCAAAATTTAATTCAATTTTAACTTACGCTCACTATCTTCGATTTTATCAATATAATTAAATAATATCAATCAATCATTCTTACATATCATATCAATTTTAATTTACAATTCATCAACTCATATAATTTTAACTATCGCTTTATATCATCTCTCTCACTTTTACATCAAATTAACTTCAATTATTTTATTTTAAATATTATTTTAATATAAATTCAAAATTCCACTAACAACTAACTATAATTTTTTTTTTCTCAAAATTAATTGTGGTTTACCAAACAAATCCATTTGAGCTAATTTATTGTGTCCAAGCACGCCCTCAGAATGCAGTACTTTGTTCTAGATTATTCGGATAATGGTAAACTGATTAACATGCCTTAAATAAACATTTTTTTAATAATTGATTTTTTTAATTGCGATCATTTTTATTTTACTTTTCTATTTGAACAGTTGTCAACACTAATTCTAATTATTTAATCAGTTGTTAAACATGATTTAATTTTTTTAAGAAAAAAGAAAATAATTTTGAAAATTAATTAATCGTTACGCATGTTTGTTTGATGGCATTAAAAACGAGACAAAGCTTTTCAAAGGGATTGTAACGGCGCAAATCAACATGTAAAATGAGAAAAAAAGAAAAAAAAAATCATATATAATATTAAATCAAATCTCCTTTTAAAAAAATGATGAATAAACATAACTTTATGATAAAATGATTACAAAACTTTTGAAAGCGTGCAATCAAAGATTTTGATATGAAATGAAAAAACTAAACGTATCATGAAGCATTACTTAAAAAATAAGTATCAATATCAAATACTTTTTAAAAATAAAAAATTGCTAAATTCTAATTTGGTAATAATTGTTTCGACAAAAAATTATAACTTTTTATTTTTTATAGTGAAACGTAGATATTTTAATGCGAGTGTGCTCAACGTTGTACGAACAAGAGTAAAAACTGAAATTAGCGGAAGCAATAACCAAAGATTTAAAAACTCTTTAGGGAAGCATCCCACTTTCCCTCAGAGCTCTTTCGTTGATAACTATCAAGGACATAGTTTGGACTTATAAACTAGAATTCTCTTCTAGCCTAGCTACAACTATGAACTAGCCTATCAACTATTTCTCCGGCCACGTCCCGTGGACTTGTTTTCACACACTTACTCCCTAAGTGTAAATCACAGAATGTTTGGATCAAACTAAAAATAGATCAAAATGATTTCAGTTCTTTGATCACCGAGTGTATCAAGAACTGAATTGAGTAAACAAAAATTGTAAGCACTAAAACTTGTAGCTCGAAGATGGCTTATGTCAAATGACAATCCCAGCAGCCTTTTTCGATCTTCAAGTATGGTATATATACCAACTCCTTAGTGTTGGAGTCTTCTCCAAGAATGGGACTCCTTTCTCGATTTCCTTCCTAATATGTAGTAAGGGATATGGTAAGTGATGATCTCCTTTTTCTCTCTCCAAGATCTCCTTCACGTGCATGCCTCCCTTTCCTTATTTCCCCAAGATCCGATTTCCTACAAGATATAAACCACAATAAGATCAAGTAATCTTTTTACATAATATAAGTTAAATTAGGAAATATAAATCATAAAGAACTTCCCTTTCTCAAAGAATCCTAATGCATGCAGGAACTCATTTGTTCAAACATCCTTGATTTCGAACTTATGCCAAAATAATATATCTTTCATATAGTAGTATAATAAACTTTTTACATATAGATCAACCGTCGAGACTAACATACGTACCATTTGTTAAAACGATATATATATGCATTATTTAAAATATAATAAAATGATATGTCTTTTTTATTTTTTCTTATTTTTTACCTAAGAAATGTTATATATACATTATTTATGATTCAACTTTATGGATTTGGTTCAAATGAGAACTAAGTCCTAGCGTGAGAACCGTGAGAACCGCTATTTTTAATTGTATGTAGTGCTATGATTGATTGTATTTTAGTGCTATTTATAATCAGAATGTATTTTATTAAAAATAGCAAGACAATTTATATTAACATTTGTAAAAATGATAACACCATGTGAGATTAAAAATAGCATTATACACAATTAAAAATAGCACGAAATATGGTTTTCACGGTACTCACACTAGGACTAGTTTTTATTTTAACCAACCCCCAACTTTATAATAGTGATGGTTAAAACTCGAAAATTACTTAATTATGGAATAAATTAAGTCTTTAAGATCAATAATACTATTTATGTCTACATTCTAAAAAAGTCTCATCGCGTCATGAATCCTCCTTAGTCATCCCTTGATATAGAGATTACAAATAGGGTTGAAATTAAGGGAAAATGTAAATGAATTGAATCTACTAATAATAATTATTAAAATCCTCTAAATTTGATTAATGTCTGAAATTGATGAGGGGAAAGGTGATACCAAAGTGCAGAAATCCACACGCGGTGTCTCTAATTTCTTGCATAGTGGATTTAGATAGATTATGTCATCATTATTATATATGATGATATAAGAATAACTTTTAAATGAAATAACATAAAACCTATTATTTCATTTAATATCCAGATGCATTTATTACTGTACTATATGTTTATCCTTTTTATCTATGATAGTGATGATGTTGGGCAGACTTTACAATTCGCAATTATAAATAAGTGATCACTTATTTATAAAACAACATAAATAAAAATAAGACGTTTTAAACTATTTTTCTTTAAAAAAAAAATATATCATGGGCCACTACATTGTTAATTTCCTATTCACATTATATATATACATTTTAAAAATAACATAATATAGATATGAATGATGGATACTTGCGTGTTTTCATATTGATATCATATATTTTAAAATAATATGAATAAATTAGCAAGTACGTATCACTTAGTACTATAAATAATATATATATATATATTAATATCATATAATGTAAAATATTATGAATAAAACTACGAAATTTCGCTTGGTATAAATTTATATAATTTTTTTTTTCAGATTATGATGGATGGAATAACTGCATCATCACAAAAAAAAATTGTTTATTAAATAAAAACAATTTCGTGTGAAGTGAATTTCGGTGGCTGAATGTTTACCGAATTTGTACGGGTCATGAGTATCTATATGCAATGGTATATAAAATAAAGCATGATTATTAAAAAAATTTATTCAAATCCACATTATTTAGTATGATTATTTAAAATTTTTATTCAAATCCACATTGTTTAAGGGATAAACTAATCTGATGTTGAAGTATTGCATGAGTATATTTTTATGCATTTGACAACCATAATTTCTCAATATATTTAATCGTTATGCGAGTTTTAAACAATGGATACCGTTTTCCGCATACCTAAGAGATAGTATATATTACTTATTGGACATTATTAAATTGATTAATAACATACCAAAAATGTATGCATGTTGATTATATAATCCTTTCCATCGTAATTAATTCTACACATTTTACTATTATGCAAACGAGCTGTCACCAGAAATTGCAGAATTTTTTTTAGATCAATAATTTATTTTTTACAAAAAAAGTATTTTTGAAGTTAATCAATATTCGAATATGTGCATTTAATTTTATTAAAGAGGAAGAAATATAATTTTTATTATAAATATAAAATAAAAATTTCCTCAAAAGAAAACTTCTTTTAAAAATCACCCCAAAGAAGTATCTAATAAAATAGAAAAACATAAAAATAATAACATAAAAACCCAATTAATAATTTTTTTTCTAAAAATTATGTTATTTATAGTATTATACTCACATGCGGGACCTTTCCGCCGGTGCAATATGAAAAAATGGGCCCCACACTAGCTGCCAACAATTTCGGCCAAATCAAAACCCCTCAATTGGGTCAAACTATCAAAGTCAACCTATTGCACTTCACTTTTTTGGTCACGAACAATTTCACTTGTGCTAGTTTATGTCACACTGTTTTTTTTTTTATTTATTCTATTCTATTATTATTGGTTTATGGTATGTTTGTTTACGTTGTCGGTTGGTGGTCAAGTTTTTTGTCCAACTCAGATTCCATCTAATTAAGATAATACAAGCAATTTTGCACAAATTATTCTATAATTTTGAAAAGACTTATGTCAAACGGTCTTTAGATGAGATGTCACGCATTTTATAGTTCCAAATTGTCAAATTTTAATATTTTGATTTAAGACTTTTGCTTTATAATGTTTTTTCTTTCTAGTGTTTTAAAATGTTTTTTTAAGCTTTCCTTTTTTGGATTTTAAGTTAAATAGGGCTCACTTTGCGAGCTCTTTTAATTATCTATATATCTATAATGGACTAATTCATACTGTCAATATTTGCATGGGTTTGGCAGAAATTTTTTTAGTCTATATTTGATAGTTGATTAATTTTTATTTATGAGCAAATTCTATACATTAAATAAATTAATTATTTTTTTCGTTCTCAATAGCTAATATTCGTTAACTATAAAATGAATTAAATAGAATTATTTTGACCGCATATTGATTAGATATATTTTTAATAACATCTTAATATTATTTCATAGTAA